GCCCCGCTCCCCTGCCCGGGTCCCCAGAGGCGACCACCGACCCGGCAGCGCGGCTCCCCGGCCCTTACCGAGCCGCGCAGGGATGCGCTCCCTCCGCCGGACGCCCGCAGCCCCCGTCCCGCAGCCCGGGCGGTTGTAGCTTTTTTGGAGAAGCTGGGAAGAGGGAGAGAAAGAAAGGGGGGAGGGAAGGGGGAGGGAAGGGACTGAGATCGAGGGAGAGAGAAGTATGCAAAGGCAGGAAGTGGAGACGGCCACGGCCAGTGCGGGAGATTAATGGGAACCAGTCACCCGGCAGCCAACAAAGAAACCTGCTCCCCCAGCGCAGCCCGGCCCGGGCTGCAGCCCCGCCGCGGCCGGGCAGCCCCGGGCGGCCGAGCCACCGCTCCCGCCGGCAGCGCTCGGCCCCGGCCCCGCGGAGGGGTGGGCGCCGCCCCCCCAAACGGCCCCAGACCCGGGTCCTGGCCAGGCGGGAGGGAAGGAGGGAGGAAGGGAGGGAAGCAGCCTGCCGGGGCCGGGCAGGACCGGCCGGTCCGCGGGGAGATGCGACGGGCGGAGGAGGAGGGGAGAACTGAGCCCCCCGTCTGACAATCTTCCTCCTCCTCCCTCTGCCCCGGAGGAGCGACACCGCTGATTTTTTTTATTTAAAAAAACTACGAGGGCTGGGCTCCTCTGGGCGCGGAGCCGCTTGCGGGGAAGAAAGGAAGGAAGGAGGAGAGCGAGCGGCGCGCTTCCTGCGCTCGGGCGCCGAGCAGATGGTTTCAATCAGAGCGCCGGGGATGGGCGAGCGCCCGGGGCGGCGGGACGCGGGGCGGCCGCGCTTTCCAGGCTCCCCGGGGTAGCTTCGGAGCAACAGTACCTGTGGCGAAAGACTGGGGGAGAGGGAGGCAGCGGCGCGCCTCCGAACTGCATTCCGGCTCCCTCGGTTCAAATCCAGCCTACCGGGACCAGCTACCGACAGCAGTTTTGTCACGCTCTGCTCCCGGGGGAGTGGAGCCCCCGGTGCCCCCCTCGGAGGCACGCCGCGGCCAGGGTCCCTCCGCACGCCAGGGCGCAGGGCGACGCGGGTACCAGAGGGCGAGGAAGGTCTCTGCGTGGCGCAAGCGACAAAGCGGGCATACTCCACGCAGGCCACGAACAGCATCGCAGGGGCCAGCTCCCTGGCGCGCCTGTCCCCGTGCTTCTGCCGGCATAACCCATGAGGAACCCGCACAAGTCGTTTGATACAAAAACCATACAAAAGAGGCAGGATACTAGCTCTCAGCAGAACCATGAGTACTGCCAAATACAAAGACTGCACCTAAATCTTGAAGTATTATGTAAGCATTTATAAAACAAGTCACTTCACAATGTATTAACCAAATGATAATAGGAACAGAAGGAAAATAGCGAGAAGAGCGACATGTGTATTCTGCAATTGGAAATACAAATTCCAGCACTACGCATTTCTTGAACTTTAAGCACATGCTTACTTTCTTTTCATTGACTGAAATGGAACCGAAATGGTGCTCAGCGTTAGGCAACTGCTTATGAGCTTTCCTACATAAGGATACTTCTCTGAACCCAGAGCCGAGTACTCCGGATAAACTATTCTTGGCTTTCACCACCTCATCAACAAAATAAGATATATTGTCTTGAGATACCCTGATCCATTATCCCACATGACAAGGAAATCTGGTGTAAATGTCCAGCAATCTCACAAACCTCCATTATATTTCAAAAGAGTGAATGTACAGGAAATAAGGGTAACTCTCATCTGGATTCTGATATGAATGTGCGTTTCAAAGCAAAAGCTATTTCAGCTGTCAGCCTTCTTGGGACAGATGTATTTACTCAGCTGCAAAAGGAGCACTGTGTCACCGAACATCAAAAAATGGTGGCAGTTTAAATTTCAACACACAAGGAATAATTTACCTCCTGAACAACAAGCTACTGCTACAAGTACCTGGCAGAAATATCAAATGAATACAATTTTCTTTCCCTGTTATGAAAACGACATAGGAAGGCCTTTTCAAGTATATTTCACAAGTGCAGCAAGATAGCAAACACATCCACCTCTCCAGGAGACCAATGATAAGAAGGAATGATGCTCAAAGATGGATGCTCAAGTTAAGCAGGAAGCAGTCTATTCTGGCTGCTTCTCCAGGACATCAAACAAACATCTGAAACATGCTAACACTGCTTTTTTATCAAATACTACTTTTCTCCCCCACTTAGGTTGCATTCAGTCCCCCAGACCTCAAGCACCCCAGCAACTGCCTAAATTTTCCTTTGAGTACAAGAGACCCAACCTAAAGTTAAGTTATATTTGAACAGTAAATTGGGGCCTTCAATGTGTTTTAATGAACAAGCAGCCTGTGAAGGGCTTGTTTATTACAGGAGTTGGCTGCCGCTCTGGTTAAGCAACTGGAAGATGATAATAAAATGTAAACTAGGAGAGGACTATTTTTCTTGTTTGCCAAACAGATTAGAGCTAGCAAAGCTCCACAAACAAGAATGAAGGACTTGAAAAATCAGGGCCTACTTGTTAACCTTGGCCATACTGCACTTAAAGAAAGTTTCTGTGCTTATTTTGCCCTTCCTACTGTCACCTCAGTGCAGGCGAGGTTAGCAAAGCCACAGAGTGGCTCTAATTTACATGTAGCCGCAGTCTCTTTCCAAGCCCGTTTGGTAGCTCCGAGTGGCGACTGCAGCCTCACACGCTGCAGGGCTGACAAAGGCCTCATGCGTATGTGCTGCCCTGCTGGAAAACCCTCCTGGGCCAGAAGCAGCTTCCAGGGAGCAGATTTGCTCGTTTGGCAAATCTTCCTCGCAGTGGGCCAAACCACTTTGTGCTTTCTTTTTACCAACCAAAGTGAAAGGGCTTTCTTCTGGAGAGCAGACGCAGCGGCAGTTTGCGGGCGCTCTGCCCTCTTACCAATACCTGTTTCACTCAGCCAACCATCAGTACACACTGTAATTATTGTTTTGTACCTCATAAGTTTAAAAAACCCAAACAAACCAGGGAGTACCACTTTCCACCAGAGAGACCATGAGGTGAAGCCCCCCGGGCGCGCCAGCACGGGCTCGCCGGCCCCCTCCAGCCTCTCTCGGCTCTTGTCCGCTGTCGCCCGGCGGGGACAGCCGCGGGCCACCACCCGGTCGCCTCACAGACCCGCCGCTGCCGGGAGCGGCGCCGCCGCTGAGGGAAGCTCACGGGAAGCCTGTCCGGACGCCCCTCCCCCGCCCGGGGCGGCGCCTTTACCTCAGGGCAGGGCAGGGCAGGGCATGGCGCGGGCCCGGCAGGGCTGGTGGCGTGAGGGGAAAACAGGGACCCCCCGACCTGTCGGCGGCACCGGGCGCCGAGATCTGCCCCGCCGCCGCCGGGAGGGGGCGGG